GCTTCTGTAACAAGGAAAAAACAGGGAACATTAACCCATCAACCGAAACAATGAGAATAAAGTCGCTGGTTGGTGTCATCAGAGGGCAAAGAAAATTAAATATGAGATGAATACAGAGAGAGAGAGGATAGATAGAGATTTACCGGTGATTAGATGCCGTCCGCTGGTTCCGTCCACGAGGGTTGTGAGAAGTTTGAATAAGAGAGAGAAAGAGACGACTGTGGGAGAGAATGAAATACAGAGTGAGCGGGAAGAGGATGAAAATCCGAAGAGGAAGAGGCGCGAGGGAGATATCCAGTCCAAGTGTTGTGCCGACTTGAAACCCGGGTTTTGCTTAGAGAAGGAAAGTGAAGAATTGTTCGTCCAAGAGAGAAAAGAGAGGAGAATGAAATGAAAGAGAAACTGGATTTGCTTTTGAGGGAGAGACTAAGAGATTCGTTCGAGAGAGATTTGGGTGTAGGCGAATAATGGGTTTTGAGTGCCAAACTTAAAATCAGCGACTACTTTTTTTTGTCCGCCAAAATTGAAAGGCCAAAATTATACCTCAAGAGGCATTAAAAATTGCCTCTGTAATAATCCATTAAAGCTACCTCATTTAATATGTTATGGAGGCAGATTTTCTTGACTGCCTCCTGCGAGGAGCCTCTAAAAATAGAAATTCTAGTAGTGGAATTTTGTTGGTATCCTATGCATTTTCTAATTTTAGCATGTAACATTTTTCATCTAAGTGATATTATGTAATTTTTTTGAATAGTTTTCATGGTGGGGTGTAGGAATCATTAGAACATTTTGTTAATCACTTTGAATGAATATGCCTTGTCTTATAGTATTTATTTTGGGTTGAATTTGAATTCGTTTCAATGTTGAAATCTATTCACTTTCATGGTTTTTCAATTTGATTTAGTCTAGGTTAAAACTTTTTTTCTTGAACTTTTTTTTTTTATATTGGGAATAACAATTAGGAGGGATTTTTATAGGGGATTGAATCACTTGTGACTTTTCCTTTCCCATTTGCTTTGTAGGAATGAGGAGAACCTTGGGTAAAGAAGGAGAATGGCATGTAGTTGCCAATTCCTTTGCTCCTTCAAGGGTTTTTCACACCCGAATTGAGAATGGAAGGGTTAAGTCATTTGAGAGAAGAATCCTCTATGATAATCCCCATCTTTCATGCATAAAATCACTAGCATTTTGTAGACTTAATTCTTTCTAGTTTTTATTTTTGTTTATTTTTTTTCTTTCACTAAATTAGGGAAATGGTATTACTTATCAATTGTGAAAGAAGAGTGCCTAATACCTTTCATCTCTCCCCTATAAAATACCTAAATTGGTTTTATTTTTCAATGTAAGTCATTTCTTGTTGTTTTCTTGAATAGAGGAGATCCATCACTTTTATGTTCTTTGTTTTGATGGGTGGCGGCTCCAATCCATTTTTAGCCATGAAATGAATTTCAAACTCAATATGGTTGTTCACAGTCAACTTCGAACTGGGCCCAGGCTTCAGGCTTTTTATTAGGGCCGGACTCGGGCCCATATTGTAGACCCATTGGTCGGGCCGGGGTCAGGCTTGGACCTAACAAAATCCTATTTATAAAGAATAAAAACCCGGCCAGGCCTGGCCCATGAACAGGTCTACTGGTGGCTGAGGTGAGGTGATGAGAAAAGGTTACATTTTGGACTAATTTTGTTCAGAAATTCAACATGAAATGTAAATTTAAAATCAATAGCAATTTCTTTAATTGGGTTCACAAGTTAGTAATCCCGCCACATTTAAGATTAAACTCGATTGAGTTTAGGCTTTTGAAAGTAAACTTTTCGTAGAGCTTCCTCTCTTTATGAACAGGTACTATTGTGTTGGTGATTGGCAAATCCGCTCCATGACCAGACCCAAATAAAATTGAGAACCCCATAGTCAAAATTTCAGAATCATCTATGGTGAAAGCGGAAGGAATTATATTCAATAAGATGAGTCATTTGAACTTAGATATCGCATCACAGATCAGGTGGATATTGCAAGTATCCGAAATCGTAGATCACTTGGATATTGCATCCTAGATCAGGTGGAAATCGCAAGTATTTGGAATCACAAATCAGATGAAAATCATACCGTAGTCAAAGCCAGGACTTACGAAAAGTGAACCAGAGAGTGTCTGAGATATAGGGAAGAGGGAACTTTGGGTGTTCTGATATGGGAGAGAGAGAGATTTGGCGTGAAGCTGTGGATACTCTTTATTGTTCATTAGTGGATTTCTTCTCCTTGTAGATGTAGAAACAAAACCACGTAAATCTCTCTGTGCGTGCTGTTCTTTCTTCCTATTATATTTCTCTTTACTTGCCAATCGTGAGAGAGAGAGACTTGGTGTGAGGCTGTGGACACTATAACTATAAATCTTTATTATTCATTGGTGGATTTCTTCTCCTTGTAGACGTAGAAACAAAACCTCATAAATCTCTCTGTGCGTGCTGTTCTTTCTTTCTATTATATTTCTCTTTACTTGCCAATCGTGGGAGAGAGAGAGACTTGGTGTGAGGCTGTGGACACTATAACTATAAATCTTTATTGTTCATTGGTGGATTTCTTCTCCTTGTAGACGTAGAAACAAAACCACGTAAATCTCTCTGTGCGTGCTGTTCTTTCTTCCTATTATATTTCTCTTTACTTGCTATTCGGCAAGATAAGTTCATTAATAAAATAGTCACAGTTAGGGGTGGTCAATAAAAGCAGTGCTGCCGTATCCCTTGAAGTACTGCCCACGTCTACCCACAACACACTACCCCTGTGAATTGAACATCTCCCCTGCACAATATTATGCAGAGATGAGATGTTCTCTATGTGTGACTGCAATAAACGTGGGCAGGAGATTCGGACTCTAACTCTTGGCGAATGTCTAATTCAAAGTAATTTGAACCCGGATTTTCTATTCATTTTTTCTACCCGCCTTGAATTGCAGCCACACATCTTTATTATGAATTGAGAGATGTATGGCTGTAATTTAGGGCGGATAGAGTAGGAAATCCCGTTAGCTAGGTAACCCAGAAAACCAGAGTTCTCTTCACCTATGTTCGGTTTGAAGGAAAAGGTAAGGAAAGGAAAGGAAAGTTAAAAAAACTTATACAATTTTTATAAAGGTTTCCTTACCTTTTCCTTTCTTTTCCTACCTTTTCCTTCAAACCAAACACAGTCTTAAGGGCTATATATCAGATAGAACACAGTGAAGAGTAAGGGAGACAGGGGATCATCAGAAAGTGAAATGGAAAGTAATACATACATCGATCCATATGTATATATTTAGATTTCATGCCTTCTAAAAGCCAGTACACGAAGAAGGAAACATGAGCTGAACATAAGTATTATATTCCAGGCATATGTATAACTATATATCCATTTATTTAATTATTTTAACAGTAGATATCTATATAGATAGATACTCGGTCATTTACCTTCTTCCTCCCCAACCGCCCTCCCTCTGGCTGTTGAAGTAAGTGGCAGCAACCGGCAGTCCAAGATTGTAGAGCTCAGCGAAGTCTCTGGTACAGAAATTCTGGCGCCAACCCGGAGCACCAGTCGTCTGTCTGCCAGATTGCCGGAACAACGCGAAGACATACCTGTGAATCCCAACAATTGTTGGACTCGGACCCTCGTAGCTTGTTATCTCCTGGCCTGAAAAAAGGAGATCAGAAGCTGCTTTACTTGTGGCTCCATTAAATAAACTAACTACATATACAGTGGAGCAATCGAGGTGCAAAATATAGGCTCAGTAGCAATGCACTAGTGGTAGAAAAATGGACGAATTAAGTTATATAGAACTTAAGATAGATGTAAATTTTCATAAATAAAACAGGTTTTTGTTCTCGAGTTCGGTGCTTAATTTCACGTGCATTAGATGCATGAGAGAGAGCCCCTTATTAAACGAATGCTAGGTACATTTTCAACGCTTGTTTTACGTACCGAAAGTTGCGTCAGTTCCTTCTGGGATATCAACGACCAGCCTAGAATTTAACAAGAACAAGAAACCAATTAGTACACACACAGATATATATATATATATATAGAGAGAGAGAGAGAGTAGAACATAACCAGTGCAAATACTCTCTCATGGTGGGATCACAAGGATTTGGAGCATCAGGGTCGACCATTACCTGCAA